GGTGAATCATTACAAAATATATTTATAACTTCTCCCTTCCTAAGCCCGGGGATTCTAGAAAGCACTTTATTTCCTAATATGCACACATGTTAGTGCTTCATCTAAACTTAGTCCGATTTTAAACTTAAAATACATCGGTGTAAGGTTCAGTAGCGGGCATCCCCTAATTTTGAACTAATTAAAACGAATATAAAAGGAACTAGAGCTATTACTCAGAACAAGGTCGTCGCTAACTAATTAATAGGCGAAAGAGTAATAGCTGTAATAGATGTCTCCAGCGATATTTATGTATTTAAACTAATATTTATAATCGAAACACCGACCACCCAATGCCACAAGGAGACACTTCAATAAGAAACACTAAGATTACCTCTAAAATTCACTATTAATTTTTTGTTATTATTTCATTATTATACATCGTTAATTATATCCAGAGTCAATTTGTAATGGAGAGTTGGAAATAACGAATTATGCAATAATTATTATTGAATATTTTGTTAATGAATAGTTTTTGGCAGTTTGTTTCATGTAACACGATAAACTCAGTCTCTGTCGTCTCTTTCTCTTGCCAGACAGAAGACCTGACGGATTTCATTTGTACCGTACTAATTAACTGGAATGAGGTCATCGTCTTGGCGTACCTGATGGACGATGAATGACATATATCACAAGTGGGATACACGAGGATGTGGAAATTATTTATTGCCGACTTATAATTAAACCTATTTTACATTCATTCCTTAAATAAATCATTATCATCAGGCTTTTAATTGTGAGTGCTGTATGGAATAGATATAATGGGCAACGACCCACCACGTGAGCCCAGTGCGGATTGATGGGTGTTAATGACTGCAAATGCAGCCAAGAACAATTGCTCAACGTGTCTTCTAGAGTAAGGAGAAGGTCGATATAAAAAATTTTGGACACCCAACCTATAACCGGCTCTTGCGAAAGTTTCTTAAATATATATCCAAAAATCCTAGAATAATTTTATATGGGTATATATTTTTGTTGATACTAATTGTTTAAGAATTAAATTAATTTTATTTAACTAAGCTTATTTCAAACATTCTTTCATGATAAGTTACCATGTACGGATTAACATTAATATCGGATTAATTTGCCGATAGAGTAGTGGGTTTTACATTTTTTTACATTTTATCAACGTGTTGTATTTGGGCAACGTTAGTGATGTAAGGGCATAACAAATGTTGTGATTTGAAGAATCAAAGCTATTTTTAAATGTTACAGAGAAAAAAAAAATACCAATCAAGAAACTTAAAAAAGAAAGAATTGTTAGAATAATTAAATATCAAATATCAAGTTTTGAATTAATAATATTACAAATCCGATAAGGTTTTTAATATATGTAAATAATTAAAAAAAAAATATTGCGTCATGTAAGATAAATCAAAATTGTAATAAACAAATTGTCAACTCAAAAGCTTTTGATGTTTTTTTTGTGTTTTTACAACATCAATATAATTTTTAATGGACGCTAAGATATCCGAGCTTATGCCGATGAGATAATGTATCGACGCTCGCGACTGCTATTGTTAAACGCTGATACAGATTTGATAATTAGGTGGGTATGCAATCTGTAGAGATTAATGAACAAAGCGGGCACTACGTAACGACCACCCATGGGGAGGAGACGGCTTAATAAGAGCCTCATTAACACCTTAATGGTTATTCTCAATTCGCCCGATTGCTCCTTCAGTTTTATTTATTTTGGCTCACGGTCTCGGTTAGGTCGCGTTTAATTGAATTTCTGTTCTCCTTTTTTCTAAACTTATTCTCTTTGACTTAAGATCAGTGATGTATTTAAGTCGGCCGTTCTGTAAAGTTTTTACCGTCTCGGCCAGCGAACGGGAGCTCTTCCCTCGCTTTCTTATCTGGAACTTTTAATTCGGTCGTGATAATGGGACTTTTGTGCATGATTTCATTAGGGACTAAGGTTGTCTCTTTTTCATCGGTAAATATAAGGGGTAGTTTTGTTTCTCTCTTTGGTAGCTCATCATTAATTTCGTGTGTCACCGTCATATTTCTATCAGCCGGTTGTAATGCAAGGGGAAGGGTTCATAAGATTTCCGTTAGTAATAAACCGGGAGACACATATAACACATATACTGAAGAGCGGCTACTGCACATGTTACAGTTCTCCTGACGAAAGATTTTATTACCACACTTCACAATTTGCCGGCGGTATCTTAAACGATGATTAAACTGTTTTTCATTTTAACCGTTGCCAACATAAAGCGGTTTATATTTACAAATAACTTTTACGAGAAATGTTACGTTTCGTATAATAATGTTTGTTAGCTTGAAAACTGAAATTTAATATGGCTGTACCATGTTAGTGCTGTAAATATTAATAGAACGGTAACGGCTGTACAATTAGTCTCGAGATCAAATTAAAGTGTTTCTTTTTAAATAAATTATATTTTTTATTTATTATTTTTTACTTATTAATTTTTAATGTATTTTTACAATTATTTTATGTCAAGATACTATAATAAAGTAGGCAATCAAGACGCTTCTTTCGAATATGTCATCTTGTTTGATGGAAATGGTACCCGATTTCTGTGAACTAATTTGTGGTATTTAGAATGTCGTGATTTACATTGCATTTCTAATAAGTCATTCCATTACCTGTGAGTCTCTTATAGTTTTTTACCGATGAATGCCGGGGATTGCTACATTTGCAATAAGACCGCTTTTTGCATATATGTTCCTAAGTACTATATTTAAGTTTAATTTATTTACAGTACAATAAAGTATATCATTCTTTTTCTGAGATTTAAAAGGAGAAGATACGATGGGACAAGATAAAAAAGAAGAAACAAAATTGATTTAACCTTATATATGGCCATAACTAATAAAATAGGATAAGGAAGACATATAAGTGAAGAAATGAGCTGCAGAATTAGGAATTGATGTAAACTATCTTTCTAACTCCACTGTTTTGATTTTGTAGTAATAATAAAAATAGGCGTATACGTGTTTTCGATTGTATTTTGCTCTAAAATATGAAAATTGAAGTTCTTCAACTGCCCAAATAGTCACTCCATTTAAATAGTAAAAGCTAAAGGAAAAGGTTTGACGTTTATGTGTACAAAAAGAGAGTCATCTGTCACTATTTGAGATATTTTTTAACATTCTAATACTAGTAATTTCTAAACGCCGTTCTAAAAACAAATAAAAATTTTAATCTCTACTCAATGCAGTATAATTGGTTTTCTACTATTTTACTAATACTTGGTCTATGAAACAAAGCTTCGATGATTTTAACAATTCGCCTATAATCTAATAAAACTTCCAAAAATTGCAGTGATATAAAAAATTACACGTCCTTTACTAAATTTCTAATACTGTATCCCTTATAATATAAGCCTTTGATCCCTTTGAACACGCTTACACAAACGAATCCTTTTTTATTGATTATCAAAAGCGTACAATAGATAAAAGATGGCGCTGGTTGTATTGTTAGTAAGTCGCAACTCAACAGACGGCGCCACCGGAGTCGACCGTGTACAAAAATGGCAGTTGAATATTTTACCCTGGAAAGATCAACAACGATGGAAAACTAAAGCGTACTTTGGCACGCCGTTATAAGGATAAATTTTGTTTGCTCCACAAAGAAGACTTACATAGTCAGAAACGAGCACGAGTGTATTTGTGGTAGAGCGTCGTCATTGTTCGCTAAATTGTCGCTTGCACGGAACCGGCCGGGCTTGTCGTGAGTTAGGTACGAGTATAGGGCACACAATGACAGTGTACATACATTTAAACACCTGTTATTAAGCATGCACAGGGTCACAGAGCGTAGGTATTACAAAGCTCGTTAAATACAATGACAGATAGAGATCTCACCGCTGCTGGCGATTTAGGATGCACCCATAATTAACTACGCGAAATGCCACGTGATATTATAATTACGATGAGTTGAGTGAACTCGTTTAACTGCACAAAAAACTTCTGGAACGATTTACTGTTCAGAATTATCGCTCTAACAATCTGCAAATTAAGGCAGTTTCGAAAAATCATAACATAATCACTAATACAAAGAACGAAAATTCTGAAAGTGTACATAATCGTGAATACAGCGAAAAATTCCGTTATGAACATTTCAGATGTTAAATATCAAGGTGAGCAAATCCATTTGACAAAAAGGATCGTCTGTCGTTTCATAGGATTTATTGGATTTAACGGATTTCACATGAGCTTTGTCATTTAAAACAAACATATCCAATGAAATACTCGAATGTGAAGTGAGTACAATGATTAAGTATTACTGTTGAACTTGCTACCATAAAGGAATTATGTTGCCGCTTACTACGTCCGCTCATTTGTCTGCTATATGCCCAGACAAGGTGTTAAATAGGACCATGCAACCGCTCTGTACGCAACCGCAAATTGTGTATTTCGTAATTTTATGTGAACATTTTGAGCTGTCATAATTTAAAAACCGCTTTGGTGTGAGATGTGAAATTTTTGTGTCATTTGAAACGACGTAAAGATATCCTACAGAGCCGAAATGAGATAAAGTGTAATTGCTATAATAATAGCGGTAGCTTTTGGAGTTTATTTTTTAAGTTTAAATATTAATGTTTCGTGACAGGGCGGCTGGCCGCGCAGGCTGTGAGGTGTCGGTGGTTTTCTGGCCCAGCGCGTCCGGACCGGTTCGCGCGTCCCTCGCTCATTGTGCCAGAAAAGCCAAACTCGTATCTGAGTAGAGAGCGATAAACTTGCCTCGTATACGGCAATCGAGCTATTGGTACCAATTTGCAATCTGACGCTTTCTATTTTGGGTTTAATATGTAGAGTAATTCATCGTATTATATATCTTCAAAGTAACCACAAATTATAGACCGTTACTCGGAATATTTGAAATTAGGTGAGACTGATTCAGAGAGATCAGAAAGTGTCGAGACCACATACTTAACCATTGGTAATGAAATCTCAAGGTTCTAATTTGTTATTGTTTAGGCAACACTTACCAGTGGGGAATAAAATGCGGAACTGTCAACACCGATACTGGGGTAAGGATTCTGATCGGTGGACGGGTACGGCGCACCATACACGCCAACCGCAGCGCTCGACAGCCTCGGGTACGAAGTGAGTGCAAGTCTTGCGCCATCGTACTGGCACGAGCAGACCGTCTGCCCAGAGACAGGGTCAGTGATGATGGGCCGGGGTGTGTCGCAGCACGATGCCGCCGGCGTGCTCGCGTGGCTGTTACCGCCGGGCGAGAGAGCGCCGCCGGCGACGCCGGATCCGCCGGGCGAGAGCGGCGGTGCTGAACTTGACCCACCGTCTGGCGAGGTGGCGGCGCCGCCAGTGCCCGCCCCGCTGTTGCCTACGAGCAACTGAAAAACAACACAAGTGTCAAAACTAAGACTGTTGTTTTTATCTCATATTTATCTTCTCTACTAATAACTGACATTCAGAAAATATTAGAGTATATAACTATATCAGATGCACGTGTTTTTGACTAGTTAATTCAGATAATTATTTTCAGTTTATAGCTTCTCAGAAAAAAATATGAAGCCCTTTGTAGCTATTAACCTATTTAATAAGAAAATTGTGACTCTAAACATGTGTAGTTAAAATGGGTTGTGCGGCTTGTTTACAGTTAGTATTAACAGTAAACAAGTGCACAATCGTCACGCAAATCTCAGAAACTGGGAATTGTATAATAAGTCCAACATATGAAATTCACTTTAAATGCCCTATAATAATAATAATATTTATTTGCCTTTAAATGAGGTACATCTTAGGTGAAAATACAATATAAATGAGTCAAGCCCATTGATGATAAAATTACATCATAAAAGTATCATTATCAAACAATTAATTAAATTAACAAGAGATTAATTAATTTGCATAATTTATATGAAAAATTGATTGAAATGAATTGTTTTAAGAATGATCATCTGGGTTTTTGATCAAATGGGCCGTTCCAAATCAATTTAATGTATTAGCGATGTGACATTCTCTTGCAGGTATACGAAATTTATTTATACGTCATCATCATGAGCCTATTGATATTCTCTTCTATGGCACAAGCGTTGCCTATTGGTATCGACTGCAAGTGCAGCCGAGACTAAATAAAAACAGTTTTCTAGCCGCTAAAACCAAAGCACCATCGTTCACATATCCAAACATACATATTTGTTGGCAATTCAATTAAATAAAAATAAACCTATGATTACAGTGCTTAAAATATCATATCCGTCCGTGGTTTTGAAGGCATAGCTGACACGCCACCGTTAGTCGTGCGTTTTTATCTTTAAACGTATGTAAATTAATTCCGTTTCTAGGGCAGCGGCAAGATAACAGGGGGAAATTCTCTTAATCTAAACATCAGTGACGTGCCAAACGCAGCCAAGCTTGTATATATTCGTAGAAGTTTAATACGCATAAAAACTTTTTACCCCTTTTTTATGAAAATAACGCGATCAGAGAATTATGGAATTTGGCACAGCTAAATTTTATATTAAAAAGGAGCGCGGAACGCTAATATGATACATATATAGAGGTATTATACACAGATGATTGTATCACGTCAGCCTACCAATGCCCCAACTTCTGGGCCTTCCTCATAGATGGATACGACTCAAATCGAATACGAACAGTGGACCATAACCCACTACGCAGGCACCATTCTGATTGGTGAGTTTTAATGATTAATAAGATGCATCCAGAATCTACACCTTAACGTGCCTTCAGAATCACGGAGGCGTTCGTGATAATAAATTGTGGTCATCCATCCTACGACCGCCATTGCGAAAGTTGCTTAAGAACTGTATCGAAGACCGAGTACGCTAACCACTGCGCCGAGCTCCTCATCATATGACTGTGATAAAATAACTATATATATTACTCCTTATTTCCTTACAAATATTTTGCGATATTAAATATCATAGACTAAGTAGGGCAAAAACATAGACGTAGTTTATTTTTTTACTTGTCAAACAAATCTTAAAAGTTCAATTTTAGACTTTCGAACATAAACTATGTAATAGAAAATCGAGTAAATGCTAAATTAAATAATAATAATGGGTTTATCCTTAAATGTTAACTTCTTTGAAATTTTGAATTGAAATTAAAATTTACTTTATTTCTTAGTAAATATAATTTCATTTAATAAATATGCGAACTTTTATATTTTCATCATTAATGTTAATCATAAAGAGTTTCTTTCTTTTTCATTACATCGGATATGAAGAAGAAAAATGTTTTAATATAATATATAGTTGCTAGTTATAATCATTTTACTTTACCAGGAGGTTAACGACCGAGTTTATCTGTATACCCACAGTTTGTTTACTATTTATATGTCAAATATTTTTAAATGTAAATAAATATATATTAAAGTCTCCGTATTTAAATTAGAACGTGAAATTACTTTTATTGTCTGTGAAGTATATTCTTTTAACGATAGCTAACCTTAAGAAAAATGCATTATTCGTCATTATACGTCATAAAAATAGCAATCAATTTGAGAGACGAAAAGACTTCAAGATTTGATTAAAAAATACATGAAATAAAAAATATTTATATATATAAATATAAATCAAAGCTCTAAAATGAAATAATAAAAGAATAGTCACAGAAAGAAGAACAAGAAATAATCACAGAAAGAGTTCGTAAGAGATGAAACAAACATACCCACTCGATATAACAAATATCATTTATTTATTTAATAAATATAGACTTAGTTGGTCGGTAAAAGATTAAAAGATCTGGGAAAGGACGTCTACAGATTTGGTCAAACATGAGCGAGTTGACTTAGAAATAATAGCATAAGTTACTGTGCACACAGTGACCCCACTTGAAGATCTAATGCTTCGTTGGAGAGAAACCAACTTGTTTTCTTTAAACAGAGCGAATAGTCCTCAAGTCCTTATGTTGTCGGCTTTTTCAATCGAAATCTACTAAAAAGCAGCCAAGTGGGAGTCGGACTCGCGCGCGAAGGGTTCCATACTATTATCCATACTAAGCTAAACAAGATTCTCGTTGCAGTTTGGGGATCTCTTAGATTTCAAATTTTGAAAATTAATTTAATTATTAAACGAAAAGTCCTTCGAGTGCAAAGAGAATTTTGTTCAACCAAACTAATACAACTTGTTTTGTTGATTTTTAAATTCGATTTTTGCATTACTGATTTTTTTATTATTTATTTTTTGGTATTTGTAACAAAAGCAGCATCATCTTTGATATTTTATTTTTATTTTCTAGCTAAAAAGATGGATAGCGGATTTATATAAATAACGTCCCACTTTTACCCTTTGGGTTCGCAACGCTATACATAGTTGTATAATGAGCGAATAATCGGAAATCGTTTCAAAAAATATTCGATAGAATAATAATAACGATAAATTGGTCAACATAATTAAATATTATTTGACAAAATAACTTATGTTGAATTTTAAAGGCGATCTTGTATATCTTATCTATTTGATATTTAGAAAAAAATGTATTGTTTTTTAAGATGAACATTTCAAATTGAAATTGTATCAAATACCTATACTTTTTCTTATTATAAAATCCTCATAAGATACAAGAGAATATTTACACTGGAATCTAACACAAGCAAAAAAATATATATGTATGAATAATATAATAAATAGATTGAATACCGCTATAAAAGTTGTATTTACACATTATCAGGTTTTCTTTCCATTCGACGGTCCTACTAACTAATCATAATTCTCATAATAACTCATAATCAGAACCAGTTATAGTTCATTTTGTTTTAAATTACATTTACAGTTAAATCCGTTTAAATAATGGCCTCGAAACGGCCGACGTTAACTTACCGAGCCCTCCCTACTTCCATGTTATACTCGTATAAGTGTTTACACCTTGTCAATAATACTCTAATAAGATTAAACATGATCCAGGCAGACATTGAGTGGATAACATTACATAATTCACCTCCATTTATGTGTCAAACGTTAATACAAATTAAAAGACATCTTTGGTTTTTTATAATGATAAATCATTTGGCGACTCAAAGGCTATACGACCTCTTTTTTGGGAGTGTGTGTTTTTTTTATTAAAATTCTATAGGCACCAAAAGCATGTTAATAAGCTTTCGCTTTCTGTCCTTTCAACTCTCAAAGGGTTGCATTTTTTAAAACAAAATAGATACCTAGACTCATCAAACACATTTTATTTAGTCTCTATCAGTAATAAAGATCTCTTATCTTCAAATTTTCACGTATATATGTATCTAATAGGCATATTTTTCTAAGTTAATTTATTTAAATCATGTTTAAAATAAACATGATTTAAATAATCGTGTTTAAAATAAAGAATTACTTTTTTTTTACTAAATAGCGCTGTCACCATTTTAATTACAGAAATATCAATGGAACTGTAGAATACAAAATCAACAATCCTTTTGGATGCATTCAGGTCTGATTATACACGTATTTCCCCTCGCATGTATTCCTGTAATTAGTTAAAGCGCAGATAACTAAAAGTATACTACGCTCCACCCTTGTCATTACAACTCGCCATATACCGATATTAAGTATCAAACTGATTTTGATCGACATTCTACTGATAACCGACATACAGTACTTCCATTCTCTATTATAAGACAAAGCGTTATGAACCATGTCAGTCCACAACAAAGACTATATCGGCTTGATAGAATTTCGTACAACATATTTTGTTTTATTACACTTTCAGTACCGGCTAGGTATACATTAGTGGTGTGTTTGTCTTTGAGTGATATTATCGTATACATCTATAGGACATTAGATAAATGTTGATATGATATACCTACTATCAAATGTTGCTTTGTTGGAGCCGCATATTACATTGCTATTAGTGGGCACTATCCAACTATCCTTCGAATATACTTTGGCTATGAGTAATTTACTGACGGTCACTTATTATGGTATATAAAAAGCGACTTCGTGATTTTAATGTTTAATGAAATTACTAGTTAAAGGAATAAATTATTGAGTTACCGCCAGTAACGTTAGATGCAACTAACTATTCAATTATATCAAATTACTTCAAAAATATCTATTACAAATAATGAACCCTGGAAACGTTTCACTAAGTCTATAAGAACTTTTGTGCTCCAACAGCTTTGGATATACTTTTCTATTTTAAAAAATAAACTAACGTGTGTTATAAGTATTTTAATAAAAAGTTATGTGCATCCGTCACAATAAATCTATCCAATAAGGCAAATTCAATAGAGCCTTACCATAAATCACACGGTTATAAGCAAACAATTGTTTAGTTCAAGATCTCAGTCACTCATCCGCTCAATTAGTGACAGGTTGTCATCCTGTTCTCAGTATAAAAATCAGTCGTATAACGATTTACGCTGATTAAGCTT